AATTTCTCAGATCTGTACAGACGAGAACACTTTCTAACTGGTTTGTTCGTCAGTCTGTCTTTAATTGCAACATGACACGAGCTCGTCGATTACCCCAAAGTTCATTGCTTAGAACAAGCCTATACCAGGCATCGCTATTGTCCAATCGTGATCTCCCACCATTCATTTTCCCTACTCGCAAAACGACTCTCGGCCTCGCGTTGCCGTCGAAGTTGCCCTCGACTTCCCCGCTTCCCTTCGAAACTATCCTCTCGCGCGCTCGCGAATCAGTTAGACGAAGGCTGAGGCTGGTGTGTTGTGCCACTTCCGGTAGCAGGTGAGAGGCTGGCGCAACCACCCTCGCCGGAGAATTGCACGATCCGCGAGGAGAGCCGGACGACCGTGCGGGTGAGCTGCGCCGAGAGCGAGTACTTCGACGCGAACACGGCCACCTACGTCCTGCAGGTCTTCGACGCCGACACCAGACGGCTGCTGGCGTCCGCAACGAGCCTGACGCCGAGCATGCTCGAGGTGACCAATCTGCCGGCCGAGAGGAGCTCGTCCGGCCTCATGCTGTCCCTCAGGATCATGACGGCGCACGCCATGAGCGACGCCACGGTCCTCCACAGTCCGCACTTTGTTCAGGAGGGTAATACCAATAAGGAGCACCACCGTTACCCAGGTAGGGCCCAGATACACAATGGATCGTCCTACCAACCCGCCCGCACCCCTGCCCCTCACGCCCCATCCCCTCGCCCCCCCCCCCCCGTTATTGTGTCCCTGATGGTGCTTTTGCGTCGCGATGAGCGACGTTGTCGTTGTGTTCGGGCGAGCTACAAAAATCGATTATCGTCGATTCTTTACCACTTGTACAATTCAAATTGTCCTTCTCCCGGCCGGTGACGTCTTGGAGAAGAGTACCGTCGCATCGCGTTCGCGAGATTCCGAAATCAAACGAACTCATACTCGCGAGAGATATGTTCATCCGAGTATACTCGTTCTACTATCCGTTTGAATTTACACCGTTCGAATACTGCTGTTTCCGAATTATCCCTAAGGCTATCAGTAATAGATATGAAAATCGTGATGCAGTAAAATAGATCAGAATTATGTACATAACGAAGGAGGAATAAGCAGATATTAGGTCGTCTGCGATTTCTGTTTTTATTTCTAGCCATTTGAAAGCCCAAGTAGTTCGTTTGTTTTATCTTTTGATCACATCCGCTTGTATGCATGTAATTGCTTCTTGCGATGTCATACAGTAGTTTAATCCTTTACGTACTTTTACGTCTCCATTCCCTCAGCTTTAACCGAACGGTGATATAGTTTTGAGCAGTCAGAAAATAGTATCTTCGCGTGAAATTTATATAGAATAATAATTTACAACTATGTCGATTCTCTTATTATGCGAATTTATCTTTTCTTTTATAAAATTCTGCAGTTCTTGTTTTGAGCAAGCAGCTCGAAATTTACTTTTAAACTGGCGCTATCTTTCCATGTCTTTGTTTTTGAATAGATTATAAAAATTTCTTTCTATTAACCAATTTATTAGTCAATAGTAGTCTCGTCTATACGTCTATACGGTCGGTGGAAGCTGTTGCGACGAACGCTTCGTATAGAAAAACGTTCTATCCGAATCGTGCAACGCGTGCCGTAACAGACTAATATTCTACACAGCGCGCGGCGATTCGTTCGCGATGAAAATGCTCAGTCGGTGGAAACTGGAAACCGCCCGACAAGTCAACACTTCGGCAAATTCATCACGAAGTATCTCGAAATTTGCATATTTGTTTTGCGCACGTACCACAAGTTTTTTTTTTTACCACGTCCATCGAGGAACTGGAACCGTCGAGTTAAAGGCAATCACCAAGGGAATTCCGCAATTGACTTGCGGAATATATTGTTACACTGTTTGTACGATACGGTCAGATCTTGCATGCGCCAGATTCGTGTTAGCGTTAAGCCACGTGGCCGTTGTTGTAAGAAAATTTTCCTTGATCAGGCTTAGTAGATGTGTCTTGTTACCGCCTATATTAGTTGCGATTATATTTTGAGTTTCTTCAACTACTCAGACTTCCGCTAGCGGATTTTTCTTGCATGTACTCGTGACTGTGTATCCTCCTTAATTTTTCCATATTATGTATATATAAGTTAAGATACAAGAAGAAAAAGTGCGTATGAATTAAAAAGTACTGCTGATGCTTTTGCATGTTAATTAATTGAATATAAACTTTTCTCTTTGTTTTTTTTTTTTAATGTAAAGTTTAGCGAACAGGGGAAAAAAGTTACAGTCTGTTGGTGCGATGTCACCGTCGTACATTTAATTAAAAATGTTTAAAGGGGCGGCTCTCTCTCTCTCTCTCTTCGTTCATATTTAAATGCAGCAAATCCTTATGCTGCAATATTTAGAATATCATAGAAATCATTTATATATCAAATTCAATTTTATTTAATAAAGCGCGTTAATGTGTTCGTGTTAATGTCTGAACACGTTGTGTGACAGACATATGATCATATTCTTTTCATTCCTCTGCTGCATATTAATCATATTTAATAGGTGACATAATGAGAGATGAAAAAAAATCTAATTTCGCTAGACGTTTCCGCGAGGCGCGCGTACTACAAAAATATATAATACTTAGTTATTTCAAAGTAATTATAATTTATAATTTATTCGGCTGTATTGTGAATATCTTTCGTCTCATTTAAAAATTTATCAGTTTTATATCTAGTTTCACATCTATGGCATAAGTGAAAATTGGAATAAATGAGAAATATTCACATTAACTTTATTAAATCCGTATAAATGTAAAATTCGTATACCATTAAATCAACATGGTCGCTGTCTCTATAAATTTATTTCAAAAAGCACAGGAAGCTATAAATTTCTAATGATTTATTACGTGGCATATTTTCATATGTGTTTCCTCTATTCTGCGAAACATTCTTATAAGTTCAAGCGGTGCCTCCGCGTGACAAGCATTACCATAAATGAATGTAATAATCCACTATCTTCCGCCGCGTTTGTTAGTTTTCGCGATGACACCCATGGAAAATCGTTTACGTAAACAGTCCCGACCAACGCTAGCGCACGGCGTATTTCGTACCCGGTAACGTGACGCGTGTACTTGATCTTAAATGCGATTATGCGATTATTGCATTACACTTTAGTCACTGGTCATGGATATGTACGAGCGATGTTACGACACCACGAAGATAACCGGTGCGGATACGCTAATCAAAGGTTTCGCCGCTTTCTTGGCGGAAGTCGGTTTACCCTGGCGCATCTAGCGAGCAGTTAGCCACGCGCACGTGAGAGCAAAGTCGGAAGAACTTTCGAAGGGATACCGCTAAGGCGACCGCCGTGTACGTGTAAATCCTGTCGAGAAGCATTCATCCGAAATTGCTCTGCGGCCAAAGCCCAATCTTCCAGCTTGATCTTCAGCGGCGACGTACGTGAATATCCCTCAAGTATCGTGAGAAATGTTATCCCTAAACGGACGTGTCGAAAACTATAAAACTTGAATGTGCAATCACACGGTCGCTTGCCCTCTGTACGTTGACATATTTAATTTAATAAAAATTTTAACTCGGTAATCGGTAACGTATTCTACGAAATGTATCGAGGCATCTTGCTGTATAGACTTTATCGAGACACTTTAAGCGCATTTACGCGAATTCCAATGTTTTATTTACTTGCAATGTTTCCGCAACGCTAGACAGCAGGCTGCTACGATCAAACAATCTTAAGCCTCCCGAATGAAGTAGATTCTGCGAGGCAACGTTAACGTGTAGCACGAGGGAATTTCAGGAATAGCGCTTTCAATTAATCTTTCGTAAATTAATAGATAAGGTCACCGAAAGCGGCTTAAGTTCGAAGACAATGAAGCTGCACGTATATAAGTGACGCGCACAACGGAACGCGGCGTTATTGTACCAAGAGCTCGAGTCATGCACCAGAGATTTGTTCACATCCATCTATTGTATCATGAGGTGTTTCGTAAGACAAGTCCGGAATAAATCTGGAAGGTCTAATTTAAATTAATCTGGTGTTCGAAGACGGTTACATTTGTCTCGCTTCATTTTATGACTACAAAAAGTTCGCAAACATTGATTGAATATGGCACACATTGCGTGCTTCTTGATTTGTATCTATTTTATACAAATTTATTCAATTCAATACAAAACTCCGCAATTAAGGCGCGTTCGGGAAAATCTTTAATTGAGAAACCTGCTACAAAATGACAGATGTTACGAAAACGTCAATTAATTAAAGATCAAAAAGTATATATTTGATTTTCTGTATAACGAAAACATATAAGTTATTTTTTTATTATTTCCGTTATCTTTTATTGTATCCGCTATTACGAAACATGCTGTTCTTCAAGTTTAATTAAAAAACTCGATACGGTTTCTTTAATTGCAAACAATAAAATTCTTAACCGAGCATATTATATTTCAATACATATATAAACTCTCGCAAAGAACTTCCGTCCATGATCATTCCCTATACTATTCTTCGAAACTGCGTTCAAGTAAAAGGATATACTTGAAGATTCGCAAATCTGACAAAATAGATTTTCCGCGCACGTACAGAAGCATGAATTCAAATCGTCATTAGCTTAGTTTGATAGCCGCGAATGTTGACGCATCCTTGGCTTTAATATTACTTTGGGAGGAAGAGGCGGCGGGGGAGAAAGGAAACGGGGCCCGGAACAAGGACGAGAGCCAGCGGAGAGGCATTCATTTAACAGAGTTCGCGGATATAAGTGGGTTTTGATTAGCCTCGAACTTGAGTATACCGCAGGAGAGTTGAGAATGGAGTGCATTTGAATCCCAAATTCATTGCTAATGCGGTTGTATGATCTATGATCTGCGCAAACACTCGACGACTGCGTATTTGAGAGGGATTATTTTTCCATGAACCTCGGGCTTCACCTCTTACGGAAAATGGCGTACGCGGATTTGGCATTTCGCTGAAAAAGTCGCGAAGCTATCGCTGGAGAATCGAATTTCTACTGGCTAAATATCTATCTGTTAATCGCAAAAGCGAGTTTTGTCGGATTTTCAACTTTGTAATGATCATCACGTTTTAAAACGAAAATAACTGAAAATATCTGCGAACAAGAGAATGAACCTTTAATAGAAGCCATACTCTGGATAAAACCCGGGATAAAATGCAGAGAATTTTAATTTACCGTTTTATTTCTTTTTTTTTTTTTTATATTCCGAATGAATTATTCGGATGTTTAGCGATGCTCGGACGGATATTAACAGCCATGGTAGTAACAGAAGTAACAACGCCGGGACAATATAATTCAATTATTTCTAAGATACGGGCAGCAGGGGAGAGGTATTATAAATTCTCATTGCATTCCGTAAATCGATCAGGAAAGGTCGCGATAAACTCCGGGAATATTACCACGTAGGTAGATTCCAATGCGAAGCCGGCGAAGCTGTCTTTATGATCGCGTCACAGCTAAGAGAAAACCTTATACCTTATATATACGCGCATTTTTTACGACGATATTTTTTACGGTCTACGCCGCACATACGTACACATATACCTATGCGCATACGCGTACCTATCGCGTGTGTATTCCCAAGGTATCAGACGCGTACAGGGTACTTGTAGGATGCTACGCTTGCGGCCATGGCGTTCCCGCTTCCGAGTTGGATTTATGTTGCCAGCTATATACTTTCCGCGGACTTTAATCGCACGCGAATAAAAGGATCCGAATAAAGGGTGCATCCGTAAGATCCTCGCGGTCGAACACGCGGGGCGCATTCACCCCGTCGTCGTTCGTTTCTTCATCAAAGGATGTTGTCTTCCTCGAGCAACCCTTAAGTTTCCCTCTTGTCGAACGAGTAACGACCCCCGACACCGTAGGCGAGCGAGCACCTGCATTAACTCACGCGATCGTCGTAATCTGTCACAATTTGCATTTATAAATTTACGCGCGACACTCGCTTATAAATATTTCCATCACGCGAGACGCGCATATATTTTTTTTCCTTCCTTTTTTCACGAGCTCGTGTCGCAATATATTTTTTCTTAGCGAACATAGTAAAAAAAATTATTTGTATATAGTAAATTAACAATGAATGATTATTGTTAATTATTGTCGACAAAAGTTGTCGTAATAATTATTGGCAGCAGGAAAAGAAAAAAATTACACGAGAAGAGACATGCGGTGAGTTCTCTGCGAAAAGATCAAGCGCCGCATTTGATTTCTCGCAAATCTGGGGCAACGCGATTGTCTTGATTCGGTCAGTCGCGATAAAAAGTAGTCGAACTGTAAACAAAACTCGGAGCTTTCTCCCATAAGGATTACGTACCGTGATCGTACAAAAGACACGGCAAAGCCGCTTTTGTTATCGAAAATGCTTTATCCATAATCGAATCGACATTCACGAAGAAATCGCGACGTAGCAAAGCAGTTTCCTTTATCGCGTTTTATGCATTTTCCGATCTTTGTTAACACATTTCTCTTGCAAAATATGCAAGATAAGAAATCACTTTTTCGATATCCTCGACGGAACGCGTAACGACGTCGTTCCTTTTGTATAATATTTAAAGATTGGACAAATCACTTGTAGTTTCCGGTAAAAACGGGCAAGAGAGGGGGGGTGGGTATAAATTTCTCATTGCATTCCGTAAATGACCCAAATCGTGATAAACTGCAGGAATGATTAGGCAGACTCCAACGCATATGAAAATATCTTTAACTTTAATATATATATCTGTAATACTTAATTTAAATTTAAATAGAATATTTTTTACGAAAAGTCTCTATTATCTGTACTGATTATTATGATGTTTCCTGCACTTCTCGGTCGAGCGACAATGGGGATAGTTATTGTAGTATAAAATTCAAAGGATCGTTATTGCAGCTACTTTACTTTCCTTCGCGAAATTCGACTACTCTCCGTCATTATTCTCCCCCTTTCTTCGTATTCGCCCCGAAACAATTGGACACAATTTACAGCCCTCACGCCAGTTATGCTGTCGCTGTCTGGTCCGCTATTGGGCGCGGTGGTAGGAGCCACGGCGGGGCTGCTCCTAGTGATCTTCGTGATCGTGCTGGCTGTCAAACTCCGCTATCGACCTCGATCTCAGGAGGACTCTCATGACGACGGCGGCATGGCGAACCTGGCGGCGTCGGGGACCGGCACCTCGTCCCCCCATGACAAATCGTCGACCTTGCCCCTCAGTGCCGATAGCATCGAGAGCTTTGAGAAGAATCCCGATATAATACCACACGCGAACGGTAGGCGAGAGTACCTGTCACTTCGCTTCGCAGCATGCTCCTTGATCTGGTTTATCCGGTGATTGCATGATAAACGCGCCCCCCGTGTAAGATAAATCGCTCTTGTTATCATTATTAATTGCCGGAATGCTCTTTACCATAAATCAATTCAATCATCAATAGATTATCTCACAAGAGAAACCTCACGAACCCAAAAATTAAAAAAAAATAATAGGTAATATTTTTTTTCAAAATATTATTTATGTGCTTAAGTAGGAGGGTTCTTACTATATGTTTGTGTAAAATATTTTTTAAATACTTTTTGAGATATATCGAGAAAAGCAAAAAACTGCTCTACATACCTCTATAAAAGATGGTTTCATCCCTTATAATCTGTTTTTCAGTTGCAATTGACAATTTCGAAATTTGTCTATTTAATACCTCTTTACGTATGTGTAATCATACTTGTAAACATAATGTTTCATCAAAATCAAAATTTTCGAGTTTGGGAGGTTTCTTTATTAGTAAGAATATAACACTAGCAAACGATGCGTGACTACCATATAAAACTTTGTTGACGGTTTCTTCATTTAAATATAAAAAAATATTTATAATAAGACGAGCTTTTTGCTTTAATTTATTTTATAATTACGCATATATTTATATAACTGCTCGAACTATAAACTCTAAGGCGTAACAGTGATTCCTGTACTTTATTATATCATAGAGAATTCATATGCAGAGCTATGCAAGAGTGCATCACCGCGATACGTACTGCAACAGCAACGTCCGGAAACAAATACCTTCACACCAGCAAACAACGTAAGCTCAGTAATTATGAATCTAAGACAATAGCAAATTTAACATTTAGGAGTCGCAAGTCACAATTAATTTCTAATTATATGTAAGCATTATTGTTTTTATAAAAATCTCATTGAAAGTAAATACAGCTCAATATAACAAATTTGCACTTAATTAAAAATGAAACTATACTTAAGTAACTTTTTAGATCAGACCACAATATTATTTTTAAACGTAAAAAATTGAGCAACAATTAACAATTCGTATTTATCTATTTCAAAAAAATTATATCAATTCTATAATATCTGTATGCCAAAATTATTATAGTATAAAATCTTCGCGTTTTCTTGAAGCCTTTCTAATCAGTTAATTTACTAATTCACAGTTATGACTTTATTTCCTTTTCCCAGCTGTGATAAATCGACTAATCGATTTTATTAAAAATGTGCGTAATCTGATATCGGTTCGAATCCAGATATCGATATGTCCGAATCGGATTCTTCATCGATTAAATTATGTTGTTCAAATTCTGAGAATAATATTGTTCTTAGCAGGGCACCGAGCTAACATACGTCGAATTAGCGCTAAGGGGAAACCGACGAATACCTCCGAATTGCTACCAGCCCGTGCAAATCTCTAGCATCCAACGGCCCCAGCTGCTGCCCATGTCGACTTTGACGCGCAGACAGCCTATCCAGGAGCCGACGATTTACGCGCAAGTCGCCAGTCATTCTAAACCGATTTACGTGCCACCGCCACACCCGTACATGAATCGTTCCAGCGACGAAACTACGGCGGAGACACCGTTGATCGGACACGACAATAAGGTATTAGGCATGAAAAGTGTTCGGAAACGTTTTGTTACAATCTCGACAGGTTTATCATTACGTTTCATCAAGAGTACTTTCCTTAAGTGCTACAAAATTTTCTAAAACTAACTGAGAAAATATAAATTTTGGTTTAAGTACTAAATAATTTAAGTATCCCAAGACCTAGTATTCACCACGACAAAATTAAAAAAAAAACCACTTTGAATCAGTGGCGAAAATGACGTAATAAAAATTTATATAACTTCGTAAAGAATAATTGTAGAGTGACTCTTTGATCGTATACATTTTCACCTTCAGCTTTCGAGCGTCATTGAACTTTCTCGAGAACAAAAGTATCATATTGAGAATACTTGACAATGCAAAATTACGGCGAGATTGGCGACATTGACCTGTAAAGAAAATTGCAAAGGACTCCTAAACTAATTCAGGATTGATATAAGCGCGATGTTGTCGCTTGCAATTAACGTTATTGGCTAACTAAAGATAACACAGTCTTTAATTACGATCTATCTGCCTCTTCTAGATCACTACGATCAGCCATTCGGGCAGCTCAATCTGGCGCACCGACCCGCCGCCTTCCTCGAACGCGCCAACGACATGATTTCAGCAAGCTGCATCGTAATTCACGATTCCATTTCTCTCCTAAACGTCTCTTAATGTTCTCCCCTCCCTTCTCCCTCCTCCCCCCCTCCGCCCCCCTCGAGAAAGAAAAAAAAATAAAAGTACACATCGATCCACGTACGCGTAACGCGTTAAGTGAGGAGGTTCTTCGAAGGAGGCGCCGCGACCCCCCGCCCCCCACCGGTAGAGATTGTTAGACCTTTACTACGAGTGTTATAAATAGAGGATTCGTTCGACGATGAAAGTAATTAATGAAATCGCGCGGAGTATATATATATAATATATATATACACATATAGATTATGCGCTTTACCGAATGATTTGTGATAGTGGTTGGTTGGAGCCGGGAAAAGGGATTGAACTGTTTTTCAACCGTCCGTAAAACTCGAGGCGGAGCGAACGCGCTATTTTGATCCCGAGGCAGAGCGTACGTTCACCGTTCCGTTCCGTCGACCGATCGAGAATTCGTTGTTCGATGAATGTTATCGGAGAGTTGGCAATAATTACGTGTAAAAAAAAAAATGCGCCGTTGTTCCGCGCGGCGCGGAGAACGGTGAGTTCCTCTGCAGTTTTTAACTCATATCTACAATATTCGCGAATATCACTTATTTGATTTTTCCCGCAGAAAAAGTCGACCCAAAATCGATTTAAAAAATTTACGACAGAAATTTTTAAAACATTCTCTGCAATAAAAAGAAGTTATATTCTCTTTCTCGTCTTTTCTCTAAATAATTATCTAATAATAATAATCTAATGCAGAAGTTATTTCCAGAGCTTATTATCGTAAATATAAATTTAGCTAGTAACGTTTATAATTGAACTCTAAAAGCGTTACAATACTAATTTTTATTATTTATCGATATTGTAAACGATATTGAGATATGCCAATATGTCTACTCAAGTTACGTGAAAAAACGAATTTTGGTTGTTGGAAATGTTTGATACGTTGATTTTGACGAGTACTCCTAGATACGAGTTAAAAATCTAAATAGCACTTCGTCCGCCTCTGCGTGTAAATCAAACAACGCCGGTGGAAATAGATGGCGAACGCAACGATTTAGTGTGATTAGTAGGATAAAGTTAGTCGCGCGATTGTCTATTGTTTTGATGATGTAATCCAGCGTCTTCTGTACCGTCCTACGAATTTTCGTTTGATATTATTTTCGAGTGGGTTCATTTATATGTATATGCTATTAAAATTTTAATTGTTGAAAAATTCTAATTCTAGATGTCCTAATCATTATTTTACTATCATTGAACTGCAGTATGTAGTACTTTCAATTAAACAATTTATAGATTTTTAAATAAGATAAAAAATATTTCTTGAAACTACTTTTTATTTTTAGAAATATTAAAGTATATTATGAAATAAATCAAACGATTACACTGAAATTTAATTTTAATGATTTCTAAAACAGATTATTATTAAATATATGAGTGTGTAAAAAATAAATGGATTAGAAAAGAATTAGAATTTATTTCGATTGCGAATCTCTACGATGTAAATCGAAAATTGTCTTTACAATAATTGCACTCTTTCTCGTGATTTTTTTTACCCTGTTCAATCATTTCATTCCCGTGAGAAAGGTACAATCAGGAATTATAAAATAAATCTTTTATTAAAAATTAAAATACGTTAAAAAATGTGGGATGACGCGTGGCTCCGCGCTAAAGCGGATGTTTAGTAATAATAATAACTAAAAGTCCTGGATTCGATTCTGGTCTTCATCCCACATTTTCCTCATTTAAGAGAAAGATTTCCCAGTTAAAGAAACAAGAGAAATTATTTGTCTCTCGCATTTCATGATTTCACGATTTCACGACGCATTCACGGAATATGTTTTAATTATCATTCAAATTCATCAACATACCCCTTGTATAATTTAAACAGAACACTTGTCGGTTTCATGCGGCATTTATTTGTGTATAATAAGGTCAAGCGAAGTAAAATTGAAGCAGATTCGCAAATTTTAAAATTATTTAACTTTCGAAATGAAATATTGACATGTTACAGACTTGAGACTTCTTTCGATATATTTTAACTCATCTACTTTTACGAAGTACTGCGTACGTTTGAGGAAGAAGTACGAACGTACGTTGACGGGCTTTGACGTTATGGCAACGGGAGGAACGTCTTCTTTTTCTCCTCGGTTTTATAGTTACCCGCTACCTGTATAGTACCCTACTTAGCGTAGGCCGTTTTATTCAGAACGAGCGTTATAGAATTGCCCATAGAGCAGAGTAGAAATTCGAGAAGGCGGATGAAACGAGAAGGCGCGATTCCAAGGGTCGCGATCGATCATCGACGCAACTACTGCTCGCGAGCTTCTCGTTGAAATAAAAGACTTGAGAAGTCGGACGAAACGCTACGACGATCACATCCGATAATGATGATGATAATGATGATAATGATGATGATGATGGTGATCATTGTAAAGAATCCGCACGATAGCTTCGTCACGCGCAACACTTTGAGAAGACTGAGCGAGGCGCAGAATTTGTAATGCGCGAAGGTGCCATATAACAGAGACGGGCTTGTTTCTTTTTTAATTTTATTTTTTATTCGCGTTTACCCTCGATCGAATAAATCGCAAATCGTTTCCACGGTTTTTATTATAGCCGGCGTACTGCTGTACTTACGTTCAAGATTGCTGTACGTCGTATGTTACCATTGTTGAGAATCGACGATTGTGTAGAGAAATGATTTCATGCCTTATTGAGTGAGATATTTGAACGGAAAACGAGTTTTCGTGAATGGCCATGGAAAGCCCCTTGGGGAAAAGTTTTAGTATTTGATACGATAAATATGTATAACTGTATTTCCTCAATAAATAATGTAACTTTTCTCTGACGAGTCTTTTTACATGTCCACGTATAAGTGGCGGAAATATTCAGACGTTTCTGTTTTAATGTTTTACCCTGTTTATGAGAGAAAGTAAAAATTTTATTCTGAACTATAAAAAAAAACGTAGAGTTCTTATTTACGACCTGTTTTATTAATATTAATTAAAAGTTTATTAAAATATGGACTTTATAGTTCACTAGAACATATTTAACGGTCAAAATAACTGTTCTAGTGTTGGATTTAATTACAAATAAGATGATAATTTTGTACGATATATGCGATATATATTAGAACTCGATTATTGAGTAGTTATCTGTTTATTAGATCGCTCTAAGCTTTCAGATGAAATTCGAGGAAACATAAATTGATTTGTGATATAGGTAATCGCGCGCCCGTCTCTGACATATGAGTTTATAATGGGAGTGATGTAAGAAAAAGAAACATTTTAAATGAGAGACGGAGAAAGAAAAAAATAGGAATTACTACTTTTCTCATCTAATTTGTTAAGAAAAGAATGTTGAGGACAATTTACATCACTCTCATGCTGATTGACTCATAAGATCGTAGCGCGAAAGCAACTGTTGTTCGAACGAATTCGATATTGTTGTTGTATAGTGTAACTACTACGACTCGTCTCGCCGAAGGCGAGATGACACGTGGCCGGCGCCGATTGTAATAAAGAGCAACGCGTTCGCGTTAATTAACTACTTGTATCCCTTTTCTTTTGCGTTAAGGATAACATTTAGCAATGTTCGCAAGTTTAGTATGAGAACTTCGCCGATTGAAATTTACCTTTTTTAAGAAAAAAAAAGAGTGCCGAACAATGCAAACGTGAAGGAAATGTAAAAGCGTGTAGAAAACCTGCGTTAATCTTTCGGATATTATTTGTAAATGATATCTTGACATTCGTTATGTGTTGTCCCACAAATTCGGATAGCACCGATCTACAAGCAATTTTTATACAGTTTTAGTAATATTCCTTTTTTTTAAATCAGGAAATACGCACAGACTCTGTTTGCATTTAAACTTTAATCTTTGTCTTTGAATCACTTTTCCCCAAATAGTAAGTAATATAACGCACTATCGATTAACAGACTCCGCTGTATTCGCTCAATGTCTCAAACTATACGATGTAGATGTTAGAGGAATCAGAGATCTCACATTCACCAGGATGCGGCATTTAAAAGAGAAAAAAAATACGCGCGCGCGTAACAAATATTCCTGCCTCCACCCCTCCCCTCCCCCCGTTAACAATAAGCCGATACTTGGTGTCACGCAATTATTAAAGAACGAGAGTGCGTAAAGTGTAGAGGTATTTTTTATATAATATTGTATATTTATTTATGATTTTTTCATACTCTTTCGATCGTACGTTTAGCATCAGACATAGCCATCTAGTTTTAAGTTGTACGAAGAAAGTGATCGGTATGCATTGCATGAAAAAAATAAAAAGATTTCTTAGGATGTGCGACAGAAGACAGCCATATGGCGACAAATAAGCGACGAAAATATGGAAATATTGTGTTCTGACGTATGCGAGCTTTCTGGTTCACTTTAAACGACGAGATTATTGTCCCTTTGATAAAAAGTCAACGATTAAATATGTTGGAAACGGCCCGACGAGAGTCGGAGGCGCTCTATTTGTAATCTAAATTTTAAAATACTTCGTAAAGTAATAATAGCGAGGGAAGTTCGCGGTTCTCGCGTACGTAAATAAATAAGTAATAATAATAAAAAGAAAAAAGAGGGAATAAACGACAGTGGCGGTAGCTGTGCGCCAAAAATCAGAGATTCCGTATTTTGTCAGATAACTATAATTATTATTGCGCCAGTGTAACATAAGACTTTGATATGTATTGTTAGTATGCATCGTGTGGGTATTACAGAGAATAAATTTAAATATAAAACATACATCAAATATACGAGCATACGCATATGTACACCGTGTGTTTGTGTGTGTAAAGGATAAACTTAAGATACTATGTAAACACAATTTCAAAAACAACTTTTAATATAGATTTACTTGTGTAAAATATAAGGAGAACTAATTGTGCTCAATAAATTTCAATAAATAACGATTTTGCCTATGCCAATAACTATCATTACTGCACTTATTTTCGTGTAAAATGTAATAATTACAGTTTTATGACAACCGAAAGGCTACTGAAACCAGATAACTTTATAATGATACATATACATATAGTTTGTATACAACTTTGACTCTACATTTACTAAAATGAAGAAAATTTTTCTTTTTATTAGTATATGTGAGTATTCATTGGGGAAAAAATATACTAATAAATTGAAAAATTTTCTTCATTTTGGTAAATGGAGTCACCGTTGTATACAAACTAATATTTACTAAAATAAAAAAAATTTTTTTCTCAGTGTACAAGATAACCTTACAGGCTCACTTTTACCTGTATCTTTCTCCAGTTATCAATTGCCTCAATAGATATATTAATTTATCACTCACCGACCCCGATGCGCAACAACGGAATTATATCTGCCACGTAGCTACGTTGATTCTGTAACATACAAATATAAAATTTATATTAAAATGGTGTTTTAAAATATAATTCCTATGGCACCAAACTTTTTATCCATTATTTAATTAGATATTTATTTTAATAATTATACATTTTCAGAAAATAATCTTTACAAAAATCAATTTTTATAAAATATTAAATCACTCCTTTTCTTCTAACTATTATTTTTAAATCATGATAAAAGAAAAAGGCTTAAAAACAAACAAAAAAATTTAGTCTTACACAAAATAAAAAATAATATTTACCGCAAAGTTGTTCCGCTGGCACCCGATGCCTCTCCCAGGCCTCCTCCTCCTCTCAGGCTGTCCTCTCGGGTTGTCAGCTCCCTCGACGTGACACTTTCCGCGTCGCTATCTTCTGAAACATATAAATAAATGATTTGATATTAACTAATTCTTGCGCATCAAACTTCTTATTCATTATTCAATTACACATTTATTTAAATAATCATACATTTTCGGAAAAAGATCTTTACAAAAATAAATTCTTATAAACCATAAATTCATTGTAAGAATTACATTTACTCGAAACAATATTCTTGACTTGTATCAAGATATTTAAAAACTATCAGTAATAAAATATTTTTGGTTGCAAGAAAACTTACTTAAAAGAAGTAAAATAAAATAAGTAAATGCTTTTCTTGGCTGTAAAATAATTATTTTTCTGTGTGTATAAATAGAAGCATTATCTTTCTTATAAAAACAAGAAATACATATTTTAATAATGCTGTATATTCAGTATATTCATATTGCATCTGATTTATTATATATATATATATATATATAATATAAGATACAATATTATATATGAGATTGAAATTTAAAGTTAATACATGTTGTACTTACCAATTAAATAAATCGTGACGCCATTCGTCCCGGAGCCGTGTTCTGAAAATGAAAGGAGAACGTTATCAATAATTCAAAAATCAAATACTATAAGCTCACCTATTATTACAATCGTTATTTTGTACTCTAACAAGTAAGCGTATTAGGGGCACTTCGACCAAACTCCGATAACTTAATCCTTAATTAGTCCACCGGAAATGACCAGTTGTATTTGCCAATCTGCTTAATGGGCAAATGCGATTGGTCATTTCTAATGGACCGATCAACGATTAAATTAATCGGAGCTTGGTCAAAGTGGCCCTTAATATGTTTCAGATATCCGCGATATTCGTGACATTGGAAAATATATGATGTCACTTGCCCGCGCGACGCGTCTTCGACCGAACAAGTATGTCGCGAAAAGTACGAATTTTTCCAAATTATTACTACCCGAGCGCTGAATCGACACTACGCGATAGATATACCACAGTAAATAATGCATGCAAGATTATAATAAAGGTTACCTCTTACCAATTAAAGAAGTCACGACGCCACTCGTCCCGGGACCGATCCGTACCGCGTCTGTCGTCCGTCGCGTTCTGAAAAGGGAAGGAAAACATCATCAATATGGCGGAGGCGCTTCGTCTCCCGAGCGCGGTCAACTTCACGCGCCAAGAGCGTCACGGCGTCGTCGCTACGCGTCGCGCTCTCAACTTCGCGATCATGAATTTTCCGACTACGAAAATCAAATAACTACATAAGCGCGCCTAGTGTTACGATCGTTATTTTCTAGCAAATAGGATATATACTATAATACTTTTAACAGATATCCGCGATATTCGCGACATTGGAAAATACAATCGTCTCTTGCCCGCGCGACGCGCCTTCGACCGAACAAGTATCTCGCGTGTAATACGTATATATTTTTACAAATCGTTAATACCCGAGCATTGAATCGATACTACTGCGATAGATACCGCAGTAAATAATGCATGCAAGATTAATGAAAGTTACTCTTACCAAATTACCTGAGTCGTAACGCCAGTCGTCCCGGAGCCGATCTGTACCGTGTCCGCCGTGTGCTGGAAATGACGCAGGAGAACGTCATCAACATGGCGGAGGCACTTCGAATCGTCTCGCGCGCGGTCAACTTCACGCTCAATGAGAGCGGCATCTACTATACATACGCGTCCCGTTCTTATATTCGCGTTCATGCATTCTTATTCTTATTCTAGCAATAAATAATCTACTCTTGCCTTATATAGCGGTCGCTCTTTCGCATTAGGCCGGTTCTATAATAATCAGTCGTATGTCGAAGTCAGATGTCGGAACGTAACCGATGGTCCAATGAGGAAAATTCATTTTCGAAAAAGAAATTCTCTCATTCTCTCTGGACCATCGGCTGCGTGCCGACATATACGACTACGATGTCGACTGATTGATGTAGAATCGGCCTTATATGATGCAAATTAAATATGCACGATGAAATTGCAGGTTGATATCCACGCCAATACTACAATATTAAAAAATGTAATCATCGAATATTCGCGCGATACATTTTCGGCCGAATAAATCTTGCAAAATATGCGTTTTAATTTATAAATCGTCAATGTGCTAAAATGCCAAATTTCTACCACGGATGGTTAAATGCAGTGTTATTACAAAGAATATATATACAGGGTTGATGCAAATTTTGCTTACTAATTAAATGAGTTTTGTGACGCCAGTCGTCCCGAAATCAATCCATTCCGTGTCTATCACGTTCCGTTAATAACGACGAAATATTCGAAGATGCATCTTCGGTCCGGTATCATGTGACACTACGCGAGTCAAATAGATATAATTATAATAAAAGCGTCGACTAACCGAAAATACGCAATTAAATTTTAATATTGCACGTACAGTATACCAATAATTGAGTTTATTATTAATATCGCAAAAATATATTATGTAAAATTACATTTTTAATAAATAATCAATATACATAGATATATATATACATATAACACCACTACAATTGCAAATGTAGCGCGGACGCGCACCAGAATAATATTTTATCGACAGTGTCGGAAAATGAACGCGGCTACGTAGTACCAATTTCGAAAATGGATGTACTGGCCGTAGTGTACAGGGGATTTCGATGGTCCCCACGAAAAAGCCCGAAATGGCCCGATCACGCCCGATGGCCTTTCTCAACTTTTCCCTAAACCTGTGCAATGTGCAGTTTTTATAGGTTAGAATATCGGTCTTCGTTAAGAAATTCAATAAAATCATTCGAAAAGTTTTAATTAATGAGAGAATCAGTTATAATGCAAGTTTAAGAAGTTCTGTGCTAAATAACCAACCGATATCTCGATATCTGATGGGTGAGGAAGACACTCGAGCGGATCTAACCTAGATTTTTCTGAAGGGAAAAAAATAAATCGTAGATAGATTTAAAACAATTATCGGCATAGCTAGAAAATAAAATAAAATAAAATAAGAAAGAATGAATGCGACTCGTGTAACGCGTAAGTCGATTCGACTTTGCAAACGTTTCGTAAACACCGAGGCGAGACGTCGAAACAGACCGGAGTGGGTAAAACCGGTGGGACATCAAACCGAAGTGTCTGTATATAACCCGATAACGAAGTGCAAAGTGCCGCTGATCCTGAAAACGAAAAATATTTTAAAGTGGTACATCTGCGGACCTACGGTGTACGACTCGGCGCACATTGGACACGCAACGTAATAAACAATTTTGCAAGTACTTGAGCGTGCGTCGTTTGTTACTATTATGTTTAGCCTGTTGTTAATTAAAGGATTAATATTTAACTTAAGACGATTATTCTATATGTATAGTAACGGAATGCTTATCTCGATTATCAAGATTATGATATTTAATATTAATATCATAATTATTGTGATTGTAACAAACAAACTCAGCTCAAAGATGTCAATCTGCTTATTTTAGATGTCTGTTACATAAAAGACTAATTTACTTTTTTATTATCTTTTGCAGCACTTACATAAAATCAGATATCATTCGTCGAATTCTGTCGGATTATTTTAATATAGATGTGTTACTAGTTATGGGTATAACCGATATTGATGACAAAATAATCAGACGTTCCATTGAAAGTGAAAAAGATTTCAAGACTTTATCCAGGCATTTTGAGTCTGAATTTTTTGCGGACATGAACAAGTTGAATATTCGCGAGCCATATTTACACTGTAGAGTTACAGATTATGTACCACAAATTGTTCAGTTCATTGAGAAGCTTATAGCCAAGGATGATGGTTACGTTGCAAAAGATGGTATGACACTCATTAACATTTCAATCTTGTTACTGTAGAAAAATTGTGTGATTTCTATTTATTTATAAATCATATTTTATAGGATCTGTTTATTTTAATACCAGCAAGTACAAAAACTATGGTAAATTATCAGTTCTACCTGATGTTGCAAATGATCAGCCTGTTGCGGGTAAAAAATCAGTATTAGACTTTGCACTATGGAAAGCAGCAAAAGATAACGAACCATCTTGGAAAGCTCCATGGGGCTGCGGCAGACCAGGATGGCACATAGAATGCAGCGCGATTGCAAGGTAATTTTAAAAGTTACGTATTTTCTGCATGTGTGCTTTATATGAAAATTCTTTTGTATGAACTTTTAAATTTTAGATTTATATATTTGCTCAGAACGTTATGCGTATTATTTACTTAATAATTTCTGTATAGCAAAATTTAATTAACATTTATTCGCCCGTATGACGTACCGATGTGTACTCTAGTATGTGTTTTTATCAGCGCAGTCTTTGGAAATTCTATAGATATGCACAGTGGTGGAGTAGATTTGATTTTTCCACATCACGAGAATGAAGAGGCACAGTCTTGCTGTTATCACGATGTCGACCAATGGGTTAATTACTGGCTTCACTGTGGCCATTTAAGCCTGAAAGGCGATGTGAAGATGTCGAAGAGTCTAAAGAATACTATAAGCATACAAGATTATCTCGAAAACTATTCGGCAAATCATCTTAGAATGCTCTGTCTACTTTCTCATTATCGAAATGGTACATACAATAATGTTTAACAATCAATTTCGTGTAATTCAATCCATATGTAATCAACTGGATTCCATTGCAGGTATCGAATTCACGGATGAAGTCATACAAACTGCGATGTCGGTAACCAAGAAGCTTGATAATTTCATAAACGACTGTGATAATTATGTTGCTGGAAGATTTAAAGCTGGTGAAATTGACGAAAATCTTTTGTTTACGGTAAGTTATCAATTTAATTCTTGCTGCATATAACAAATTTATTTTTTTTAATACTCCCCAAAGTAAATTTCCTCTTTGAATCACAAATAAATAGATGTATAATATGAGAAAGATACATGTATAATATGAGAAAAAGATGTAGTGCTAAATATGTTAAACTAATTTAAATATTTTTCAGACTTTGGATGACACAAGAAGTCGGGTTTACTCGGCATTGGCAGATGATTTTGACACTTCAAAAGCAATGCATGCGATTATAAATCTTGTTAGGGTAGGAAACAAAATGCTTCATCAAGATAATGTAAGTCGATATAAAAAATACTTCATTAATAATGTCTCTATGTCGCAACTTTATTTGTATTGTACTATTCATATTATTGCGCCCGTGACTCACTCGCGTGTACGTCCGCACATTCCCGAATTCACGAAAATAAAGATACAAAAAGTTGTGGAAAAGAACTTTATTAAAGATAAGATACAGTGCGACACATGCAAACACATTTGCACGGCACGACAGCGCGACTCCAAGACGTTCGTTTGCATCCGTTTGTAAATAATAGTTTTAGTCGTCCCAGAGAACGCTTCGCGACTTCTTAAAAACAGCTCGATTCGGCTCGAACTTAAGGGCCGGCTCAGCGCGGGTGTAACACATATTATTAATCATTTATTTATTTTTAATTGCAGACACCATCTCACAGTAATAATGTAAGCGCTGTTGCCGCCGTTTCGAATTATCTTTCGAATATTCTCTCGAAGCTTGGCATTTCACAATCCACAAAATCAACAGCAGAAAATAGACAGGTTGAAGACATTATTGATCATTTTCTGAACTTCAGGAAGGCTGTCAGAATCCGAGCGCTTGAGCAAAATCCAAAGGATACAATTTTATTGAAAGAGTGCGATAATGTACGAAAATGTTTATCCACTTGTGGGATTACAGTAAAGGTAAAAATTTACCAATAATCACATTTAAAGATGTAAAAAATGTTAAAAAGATTACATATACGAGATCTATATTACTGATTGCAGGATCAACAAAATGACGCCAGCTGGAGTTGGAAATAATTATATCTCGAATAAAAAAATGTATTAAAATTACATTCTTTTCATTTAATTATATATAAATAACCCAATCAATCTTTCAATTCGAAGTTTCTTTTAATTTCTTCGCGCCATCGTTATTATCGTCAGCAATTTTTCTCTTTTCACTCTTCTTCTCGGACAATGTTTTCTTTAAGCCTTTCATCTTTCTCGTTTGAATACTATTGATATTTTGTGCTCCAACATGTATACGGCCATGCATTGATCCAAATGTATCTTTAGAGATATTCTTTTTCGTCTTCACCTGAACAATAATAATTATTAGATTAAAACGTTCATCTTTTTACTATATTGATTTATAAAAGTCAAATCATTATATTTATAAAATAATACCTTGAGTGCCTTAGGTCTCTTACAAGCTCGCTTGAATAAATCTTCAGAGGCGAATTTGTTGCGTCTGAACACTAAATCGGCACGCGGTCCTATTTCCTCCAGTTCTATCCTAGGTGTTTTCGTGTTGGACTTTTTCAAAAGTATCCTGAAAACATTATGTATTGATCAATATAT